TCGTCCCCCAGTTTGTATGTATAAGCAAGATTACCCTGTCCCAGGTGCAGAATCCAAAACTTGCTCTTACTAGATTTCATACAGCTGGTGATTGCCTAGCTGTCTAGTCTCTCTAGATCTCTCTGTAAGGTCTCTTTACCCTCCAGGGAGTCCACAGCTCCTCCTAATTTACTATCATTATCAAACTTACTTAACATAGATTTTACTTCTGCAATCCAAATAATTTTTAAAAATATTAAAGAGCACTAGTGTAAAATTGAGCCCTGGGGAACACCACTGGTGACTGGCCACCAGCTTGGTGTGACCCCATTTACTGTACATCTTTGAGCCTGACCTGTCAGCTAATTGTACTGTGGATTTATCTAGCTGTATGCTGGGCATTTTGACAGCATACTGTGAGAGAAAGTATCAAAAGCTTGGCTAAGATCCAAAAACCCCACATCTACTGGCTTCCCTTGGTCAATGCAATGGGTGATTTTTCATAAAAGGCAATTAAGACAGCTAAGCAGGACTTTCTCCTCATGAACCTGCATTGGCTATGACCAATGAGTGCATTGTCTCCTAAGTGTTTTTCTGTAACTACCAGAATAACCTTATCCTCAATTTTACCACGCCCTGAAGTGCAACTGACAGGCCTGTAATTACCACTGTTGTCCTTCTTACCCGTCTTGAAAACTGGGAGAATTTTCAGCCCAGCTGACCAGTCTCTTTCAGGAGGTGTTTTAGCAAAGCACGGATGTATGTTAGGTGAGATCAGGGTTGTTCTTCAGAAGCAAATCTTCAATTTTTCCTGCTCCTGGTGCTTCAGTTCCCACTGTGGAGAAGCCCTGGGTCACACAGTGTGTTCCTTTGAAATTAAATTAAACTGGAAGATGCAGTCCAGGAGCTCAGCAGCACACTTCTGCCACATCAGGGCATCCTGGTCATGGGAACAGTCTGAGGTTAGGCTGAAGCAGGATTGTGGATAGTGTTGGTGCCAGCCCCCAGCACAAGCCATTGCTGGCTGCAGATCTTGATGGATCTCACTGCCTGCTTGTGGGTGCTTTAGCCCACAGCATTGAGCCGTCAGCTGGGAGACTATGTCCTCTCTGTCATTTTGTGCTGCCTTTGAGCCTTGTTTGCATCAGTTAAGTGTTCTGTGTATGCCTCTCGTTGTTTGTTTCCTTTCTTCCCTTCTCAAGCAAATGCCACTGCCATCAACCTTCCCACAAGCACCTTAGAAATTCAGCGATTCCCCCGGGAACCACAGAGAAGCACAGGGGCTGAGAGGCCAGAGAGGGGAGCGGGGAGTGAGCCCATCACAGCTACTGTCATTCCCCAGATCAGCGGAGTGCAGACCTGCAGCACAGTCCGTGTGCTGGAGTGGAAAGATGGGGTAGCTACTTTGCCTGGGAGTAACCTGCGGGTAAGTGTAGCCCTGGGCTACCGTGTTTGCCGCTCCCTGCAGCTGCTTGCCCTGTGAAGTGGCAGTCCCCTAGCCTGTGCCAGGCAGTGATCCCCGGGATGTGACATGGCCCCTGGCAGTACCTGCACCCCAGCTGGAGGATCCCTTGACTGTTCCAGCTTTGCCAGGCAGTTCTTGTGCCCCTCCCAGCTTGTGAATTTAGCAGAGAGAGCATACACATGGTGCCTGGGAGGCTGCAGCACCTCTGACATGAAGGGAGGTGTATCTTTCCTCTCCAAACTGTGCCATAGAATTGTCTCTAAACCAAACTCCTGCACTCACCTGCAAACAGTGGCCTTGCGCTCATCAGACAGCAGGTGCCTTTAGGTGTACTGCGCCGTACATGAAATAGCTTGCACAAAATGGACCAGTATCCCGGCTGCTGCTCAGCCTCAGGGCACCACATCCTCCAGCCATCGTGGTGTCTCATGCTGCCAGCTGGTGCTGCTCTCCCCCAGGAGCAGGCAGTGTGCTTGCCCTGGCAGGCTCAGCGGCCTGCAAACTGGGGAGGGGGAGGAGCAGCAGGACAGGTGACTTGGGTACTGTGTTCACCTCTGTCCTCGGAAGAGCTGTCCTCTTGTTGGACACACTAATGATGGAACCATGTCCTTATTCTCAGAGCTCATGTGCGCTCACTAGCTATGAAGTTACATTTCTGTCCTCCTTGGTAACTATCTTTCCTTGTTTTTTTGGTTCAATGACATAGTTTCGAATAAATGAGTATGGGACGCTGAAGGTGGTGAGTGCTGATAAGATGCCTCCAGTGGAAGCTATACAGGAGGGTCACACACAGAAAGATGGGGAATCAGAGGTGGCACCAACCAGCAGGGACAATCCTACTGTGGCTCAGGGTAAGGGCACCATGATGGCACTTCTGTGTGGGTACCGTCCTCCAGCAGGCGCTGGCTGTCATAGGCCCTGAGTGAGGCAAATGTCTCCTGCTTCTTGCACTCCTTCCTTTGCTGCACCTTGTGCTTCACTGCTCCTCCTCTCTCTGACTCAGATGTGCCAGAGCAGACCAAGCTGCCAACAGCAGAAAGCCTGTGCCACTGTGACACCTGTGGCCAGAGACGTGTGTCGGATGGAGCCCGGGAAGGCAGGGGCTTCTGCAGTGAGCACTGTCACCAGCAGTTCAAAGAAAGGTAAAGGAAGGGTAGCCTGCTCTAGCTAGAGACCCAAGATCCCAGCAAGTGGTACAAGCACATCTGTCTCCAGCTGCTGGGAACCCCACTCATTTCCCTCTTTCGTGGAGGCAGAGTGCCCTGACTGCAGTGTGGGGAGATGAAGTTTTGTCCCAGGGACAGCAGGAAGCACAGGAGCCAGATTTCCTCCTGCCCCATTTGTGGCCTTGTAAACACATATCTGCTGGAGTAGGGCTGCATCAGGAGGTTGCTGCAGTGTGTGCTTCCAGGCTGAGCAGCAGTGGGAGGCATGGGTCACGAGGGCATTTCCAGCCCCTCTGCTTACTAATGTGTGATGGCTAGAACTCATTTTTCAGCATTTCTGTGTGACTCTGATGTAGCTTAGAGCCTTCCTACGAAATTAGATTGCTTTTGATGCATCGCTGGGTTCAGGTTTCTGACACCCAAGCATGTGAAGGTGATTCTGGTCTGTACCCTGCTTCTAACCTCGTGCCAACTAGTGCGCTAGGAGGAATGCATGCATGAGTCGGGCCTTACGAGAGCATGTGTGAGTAGGAAATGGGGTGACAGTGACTCTCCAGTAGCCAGTACCTTACTGACACCCCAACCATTGCTATGTGCCATAGTGGTTTACTCTCTCTTCCTCCGTGCAGGTCTGTCATTGTGGAAAACTCTGCCAGCAGCACCAATGCCACTGAAATCCTCAAGCCGGTGAAGAAACGAAAGAGGAAGGACTACCAGAGCCCTTCGGAGGAAGAATATGAATCTGAGCAAATGGTAGGAAGAGGACAGGGAGGACGTGTGTGCACACATGCCAATGTCAAGGGTGGGCTGTGGGTCACCTCTGTATGTGTGGCAGGTGTGCACAGTTCTCATTGGTGCTTTTCAGTGCTGTGTCAGCTGTATCTTGAAGGGCTGACCTGTTGGCTGTTAATGCTAAAAAACTTGAATGTGTGGAGCATTCTAAACACTTGGCTGGCTGTTTGGCATGCCGGTGCTCGGATTGGGCAGCACTAGACATATCCTGATTGGATTGTAGGTTTCAAGCACTCTCAACTGCTCTCTTGAGTCTGGACCACCAAAATAAATGTTGAAGTAAGAGGGTGTCTGTGTGATGTGTATCCTGGGGAAGGGAGACTGATAAGGTGAGGAAGGTCTGCTTGCCAGCCCTGACTCCGGCAATCACACCTGGCGTGGATCTGCTACCACTCAGCACCAAACCCCCCCTCAGGCTCCCATCATCAGGTCCTCTTGGCTGCCTATTTCTGGGCCAAACATCAGTCAAATTCTGGATGTTGCAGTGTATGGCCCTTGACACCCTTGTGAGAGCACACAGCATAAACCTCTGGGCAGACCTCCAACATGGTGGGTTTCTGTTTTGTCTGCTTTCATGTCTAGGAGGAAAAGCGTGAAGAGAGGAAAAACTCTGCAGGAGACTCTGCTATCAGCAATCGGGCGGCTGATGTGTGGAACGGGAGCCAGCACGGTATGGAGCGGCTGGGCGGGTGGCAGGTTGAGTGTTCCCACCATGGCTGTGGGGCTAGAACAGAATTATGGTGCTCCAGCAGAGTAAAACACCCAGTGCAATGTGCCAGTACACGTTTCTGAAGGCTTGTAAGCTACTCTGCTTGCTTGATCCTGTTCTCTGTCTCCTTCCATTTCTCTCCTTTCCTCTCTTTCTCTCCACGGGATGGGTGCATCCTTACAGATACAGCTGTGTCTTCTTCAGGCATTGGGCTGTACTGTGCAGTGCTTTCTGGTCCCTCTTCTTGAGACCTGAATTTACTGCTTCCTGGTGGACACTGGGTTTACTCCGAGAAGCACTGTTCTGAGCAATAATGTGACTCTGCACCATGTCTGGCTTTGCACTCATTTTGGATGATCTTACAGGGAACTTGCCTCACATGACTGGGAGCTCACAAGTTTGGGAGCTGCTCCTATAGGTCTGGTGCTACTTAACCTGGGTGATGTGGGAATCTATTCCAGGACTCTGTCAGAGGAGATCTCAAACACACAGCTGTCAACAAAGAGGGAAAGGAGACAAGTTAAGGGATGAAGTGTTTGAGTGTTTGGGGTTTTTTCCCTGCAGTGTCATGGGGGCTAGGGGGAAGGAAAACTTGAGAAAATACTGAAAATAAACATTTTTGGGAAACCTTTTGTCTTTGAGTAGTAAAAGGTCATACTCAAAGTAATTTTAGAATGAAACTGTTCCAGCTTCATACTCCTCCATAGCCAAATGTAGGGGCAGTAGCAGGGGCCAGATGTTAACCCCTGATGTTGCACTGCATTAGCCACTATTAAAGGGAGTGCTTCTCTTTTCTCTACAATCTAAGCCCTGAGCATGTAACCTTCCCTGCTGCATACGAGTGAGCACTGCTGAGCCTTGTTATTTCAGCACTTTATTTTCTCTTATTTTAGAAGTACATCAACAAACAAAATACACACATGAATGCTTCAGTGCAGCAGTTGGTATATGCTGTATCTCCAGGTGCATTTGTCATTCTCCACAAGTTCAGAGCTTTTGCTTCTGGATTCCCCAACCATGCCTGCCAGTTTTTTTAGTCCTAAAGAATAATAAAGGTGTTTATCACTCTTAAGTATTAGCAAAGCACATAGGTTAGTGCCATTGCTCACTGAAGCTCAGTTTTAATTTCATCCATAACTTCCTAATTTTTCCATCTCCACTTCCCCTAAGCACAAGGGAGGAAGGAGTTGGTCTGTTTTTCCCCTGCATTTCTGGCCTGCTCTACCCAAGACTGTGTGCCATGGCTGGCCTGTAGCTGTGAATTATTCAGTGCTCACCCAGGCACAGCACTCCTCAAGTCCCTTCAGGTGCTACAAAGCAGAGAGAGAAAGTGGCTGGAGAGCAAGAGATTTGGGTTGTGTGTCATGTACTTTGGGCAAGACCTTTGTGGCCTTCCTCAAAGGGGTTGAAGGCATGAAGGATCACCTCCCTGCCCACAAACAGACGATGCTCTCTTCTTTTTGTGAATACCATACGGGTCAATGCATCTCCAGGGCTTCAAGGGGGCCCTGGTGTGCCAAGGGGGGCTCAGGTAGTTGTCTCAGAGCAGAGGATAGCAGAGCTGGTGCCTCTGGAGCAGTGGCAGGAGGTGAGCCCGCTGCTAGTTGGACTGGCCGAGAGCCCCTTGCAACTGCGAGTGATTCCCAGACCTCTGGGTGGATCCTGCTGGCTGTCCCAAATCCATCAGTGCTGTGGCCATTTCAGATGTACTGGCTGGAGGAGGACTGGTTGCAGCGGTGTCCTGATGCTTTGCACAGGTTGGCTTGTCCCTCAGGCTCCTCTGGCGCCCTTAGAGTGTTGTACAGCGACAGAGTACATCTGGGTCACGGGGACCTGTGTGACAGGGGACCTCTTGGCTCCGTCCTTCCCCGAAAAGCTGTCCAGGTTTGCTGGAGAAGGGGCTCTGGTAGACTGGTGCTGAGCTTTGCAGGGATGCAGGACCGTGTGTGAGAGTGGAATGTGGCCCCAGCAGGGCCCGTGCGCTCACTCACCCTCTGCGCTGCCCCGAGTCAGGCAGGGAGGGGGCTGGAGCGGACCCTCAGCAGCGTCTCCTGTGTGTGCATTTGTGCTGCGCTCAGGTGCCAGTGAGAAGAAAGAAGGCTGGTCTTGGGCGTCCTACTTGGAGGAGCAGAAAGCTGTCGCTGCCCCTTTAGATCTCTTCCAGGATGTGAGTTGGGATTTTCCTGTCATTTTCCCTCTTTCATCTTCTCTGTTCTATCCCTTCCGCCCCTGCCCTGCCCGCCCCCCTCTCCTCTCTTCCTTGCTTCCCTATTTTACGGGACTCTGAGCATTAAGCAAGCTCCCATCTTCACCTGGAGGTGACCAGCTAGCCTCCAGTTTTGATTTGCCCAGAATTCCACTCTCCAGCAGCATGCTGTCCCCCATCCCAAGCACCCCACATTTGTTTAGGACACCCCTGTGGCTCTGGCAGGGTGGTGGAGCCTTTGCAGCCCTTCCTCGAGGCCAGGTGTGGGCTCTCCTGAGGCCACGTTGCTGTGATGCACCCCTGCTCCCAGGCCATGTCTGATTGCCAGGGTCCAAGAGGAGCCAGTCCCCTGCTCCACTCTCCCCGTCTGCGGCTGTTAGCTCAGGGCACTTTGCCCTGCCAGTAGTAAGAGATGCAAACCCACCAGGAGGTGGAAGGATGTATTTTTACATGGGAAAAGAATTAAAATTTGGATGACAAGCTGTGGCCCAGAATCTCCTGGTCCCAGCGTCTCCCATTGCCTGATGATTGCACCTTGGGATGGTTCTCAATCCAACTGTGCTATTTTTTACATTGTAGTTCAATTTTTGTTTCCAGTACCAAGTAGCTTCCCAGCACAAGAATGGCTTTAAAGTGGGGATGAAGCTGGAGGGGATTGATCCGCAGCACCCATCTATGTACTTCATTCTGACAGTGGCTGAGGTAAGGCGTCTCCGGTTTCCATGTTTCTTGTTTCTTCCTTGCACCCACGCAGTGCGAGGATCTGTGGCAGTGGAGGTCCTGCCAGCTGGCCTGTGGAGGGAACAAGCGTTGGGTCCTCACCTGCATTTTGCTGCATGAGATGAGCTGGTGCTCCAGCACCTCAGTCAAGCAAATGGGGAGTTTCTTTCCAGCTCTCAATTTCCAGTTCATAGGGACAGGAGACAGTGCTGTGGAGCAGCTTTCATGCCACAGCCTGGCTGGTCTCTCCATCACCCTGACACAGCAGGGCCATGGAGGGAGACAATGTGGTGATGGCAACAGCTTCTTATCTTTGAGCCAATGCCCCTCAGAGAGGTCTGGACCCTTGAGATGGAGGGTGTGGAGGCATCCCATTGCTCTTCCTTGTGCCTGTGGGGCTCTGCTCAGCCATGTAGCAGCCGAACCAGCCTTGCCTTGCAGTGAGATCAGCCATATCACAGTGGCTGCTGTACTTGCTGCTGGAGAGATTTCACCAAAGCAGCATGGCGTTTAGCCAAAATTCCTGTGCCAGCATCTCCCCTGGGTGCAGAAAAGGGAGTCCTTGCACCTGTTCTACCCAGCAAGGTGCCCCACCATGGCATCTCACAGACCAGCCTGAACCTCCCTTCTAAGGGCTGATTTGTGGTGGCCTTGCACTTACCTTGTTCCGTGCTGGACACCTTTTGGGGCTGGCATGTGCCTCTTGAGTTGGGCACTGGCCTGTGATTGGCCTCTAAGTGATATGCTGGGATTGTGTGCAGGAGGGAAGGTGTGTGCAATGCTCAGCCAGGGACAGCAGGAGGTTTCCATGGTCCTTCCCTTTTCCTGCCCACTCTGCTGGTAGGTGTGTGGTTACCGGATGCGCCTCCACTTCGATGGCTATTCGGAGTGCCATGATTTCTGGCTGAATGCTGACTCCCCTGACATCCACCCTGCTGGCTGGTTTGAGGAGACGGGGCACAGACTCCAGCCTCCAAAAGGTAAGGAGTTAGCAAGTCTCAGTTGGTGGGTCCTGTTGAAGGAGGATGCCCCCAAACATCGAGCAGAAGATGGGGACACAGTGGCTCCATGGGGCCCTGGAGATGATGCTGCTGTGCTGGGGGATTTCCACAGGACAACCTTTCAGGCACCGATCAAGCTAAAGGTCTCTGCTCACTCCCATTTTGGGGCAAAGCCCTGTCACCCTGGATGGCCTGGTGCCAGATTGGAGCCAGCAGCTGTCTGAGGAAGAGCTGAGCTCTGGATTTCCACTCCACTGCTACTGTTTCCTAGCATGCCTTCAGAATCAACCTTTGGGCCTAAGCCATGGGCTTTGGGTTTCCCAGGGCTGCTATGGAGCCTGGCCACACACAGCAGGACTTGCATGGCAGGGTGAGGACTGGTCAGGGGTGGCCGGGCTCATGACCTCCTGGCTGCTGTCTGTGGACTCGCTGTTCTCCTTTCTCTTCCTGAGGGGTTGTAGGTTATAAGGAAGAAGAATTCAGCTGGACAAACTACCTGAAGATAACAAAGGCTCAGGCAGCTCCTAAGCACCTTTTCATGGTCCGAAATACTGTAAGTAGCAGCTTCTTCCTTCCAGAGCCTGCAGGTTCAGGGGTGACTTCTCCCCCTCCAGCTGAGCACAATGCCTCTGCCAGTGCTAGGCTTTTCTCTGTCCACCCCTCACTTCTCAAGCCCACAGTGTAGAGGGCCAGGAGAGTGTACTGCTGGCATTGCTTAATGAGATGTTGCACACTTTGTTGCTGAGGATCTGGAGCTTGGACACTGGTGTGCCCAAAATTGGTGTTGGGCTGATTCACTGTTTCATCCAGGTCGATGTCATGGACAGTTAAATCTGTTGCAAAAGTACTGGTGAGGAGAAGTAACTGCTACTCTCAACAGTTATTTTGCCCCAAACCCTCAGTTAATATTTCAAAAGTATATTTCTTTTGTCTATGTTTTCTGTCTTCATTGTTCCTGTCTCTGACCTTATTTTTAATATGGCAGCTTGGGTGAGGGAATTGGGAATATAGTGCAAAATGCTGATGATTTCTGTCAGCTGTAGAGGAGACTCCACCTGCTCATAAATCAGCTTTTCCAAGTTAATTATTATGTCTAAACTGTCGTGTTCATTGCTGCAACAATCCCACTGGTGTGTGTGAGGCAGCATGTTGCACAGATTTTTGGATCCAAGAAATAAACGCAATGTCGGATGAAGGGCTCATTCTGAGTTCCTCCTGCCAAGCCTAGGGCATTGGTTACTGCTAACCCTGGAGAAGCATGGCCACAAACCAGTGTTTTCTGACAAAATCTGAATTGGTGTAAGTTGGAGGCTGTTTTTCTCTTGGAGGTTACTGCAGATCCTGAGGGTTTGTAGATTTATTTTCTTCCTTCCTGTGGCCAAGCTGAGTTACTTACCTTCTGCCTCTTTTCTTGCATGCACAGCAGGCCATTGCCCTTTTGGGATCCTAGGTGGTCCTGGACCTGCCGGCAGGCCAGGGAGGGTCTGGTTTGGGAGGGTTTGGGGACATAACTCCTTGTAGCAGGTGATGAGGAGGGTATTGGCACCATGCCTCCGAAAAAAACCTGCTCCTCTCTCCTGCCAGCATGAGACTTCCCTGGGCTTCGAGGTGGGCATGAAGCTCGAAGCTGTGGACCGCATGAATCCTTCCCTGATCTGTGTTGCCACAGTTACTGACGTGGTAGACAATCGTTTTTTGGTGCACTTTGACAACTGGGATGATACTTACGACTACTGGTAAGTACAGAGTCTCCTGGCATGCCAGTGCTGGGGAGACACACTGCCACTCCACTGTAGACCGGTCCAGTGAGGCCGAGGGTCCACCCTCTTGTGTTGAAGGACAAATGTTTACCTGTTACTGGAATGTTGCTGTGGCTCTGTAGTTAATGTGGGGCCAAGAGAGGCGTGATTGCATGCTGTGGGCTCGCCCTGAAACCCACCTGGGAGATGGGGCCACCTGAAATGCAGAGACTGAAGACCTGATCTGAAAAGGAGATCCTTTTTTTTCTTCTCCCTGCCTGTTTTGCTGTCAGAAGCCTCAGGCTGGGAATTGTGGCCAAGATCGGGAGTTATCCCAGTTGAGGCTGGTCAAAGTCAATTAAAATGGCCAGGTAGCAGAATCAGGGTCCTGAGAGCAACTCTGTTTCCTTTGTGGCTTGAGCCCTCTGATCTTCTCTTAATTCTCACCCAAGGAGCTTTGGGACTGCAGCAATTTCTGTCCCTGGCTGCTCCTCACTGGCTGTCACAGGGCAGACCTGTGAAGCAGCAGCACCTGCATGTGCTGTCACCTGCCAGGAGCTGTGACCAGGACCTGAGCCCTCCTGATTGCTCAGGCCTTGCCACACAGAGCTCTTGAAAGGCATGGCCTGTCTCCCTGCTTGCAGCAAAGGGTTGCTGTTCCCTGGGCAGCCCTGTGACAGGGCTTGCACCCAGGCCATGTTGGTGTCCTGCTTCTCTGAGCTGGAGTTCCCCTGCATGCTTCCCTGGGTCACTCGAGGACAAGGTGCTGCAGAAGACCTTGACTTCTTCAGGTGCTTTTACTGGTGCTGCAGGCCTGGGGTGTGCTGCAAAGCAGACTGCCCTGGACTCTACGACCTGTGCTGTCTGGCGGTGATGAGCCAGGTATCTCAGTAAGAGTTTGGGTGTGTTTTCCAGGTGTGACCCCAGCAGTCCATACATCCACCCTGTTGGATGGTGTCAGGAGCATGGCAAACCCCTCACCCCTCCTCAAGGTGAGTCAGTGGCCCAGGACCACAGCCTTCACTGGCACATCCCCTGTGGAAACAGGCTTCCCAGGGTGGCATGGGGAGCCTGGGGGCACAAGCCCCATGGCCCTTGCTTCTCTGTGGGCCCGTGCAGTTTCCTTCAGCAAGGCCACAGCCAGGGAGACAGCGTACTCCTGCCAAGGCTCCCATACACGTGTTCAGGTGTGGCATGGTGGTTCTGTCAGGCTGAGTGGAGACATGAGGAGGACCCAAGATATCCGTGCAGGCCCAGTTCTTTCTGCTTCCTTATACCCTGGATTTCATGGTCTATGAGAAAATAGTAGCACTTCTTAATGTCTCTCAGGTTCCCGTGTGCCTGGCACAGACTTGCTTGGTCGTTCAAAGCAGTAGAACATCCTGTGGTACTTGCTGTCTTCCTGTAGGCATGGCTCACCTTATGCATCTTCCCCCTTCTAGATTATCCTGACCCTGACAACTTCACCTGGGAAAAATACTTAAAGGAAACAGGAGCATCTGCTGTCCCGGCTTGGGCCTTTAAAGTGGTGAGTGCCACATCATCTGCCTCTCTGTGTCTGGGCAGGAATTTGTGTTTTCTTCATTGTCAGATTTTTGTTTTTATGAACAATCAAGTGATCTTCAGTATGCTCCTGCCACAGGCCTGGGGTTCAGACATACACTAAAGGTTCAGAAGTCAGGGCTATCATGAACAAATAGTTTAAAACTGGAAAGAATGGGAAGCATGGCCATCCCCTTGGCTAGACAGGAGCTGGTTGATGGGAAAAAAAAAGTCTTCCCCTGCAGCAACAGCAGCTGTGTCCGGCCAAGTGCGGCTGCAATATAGATCCCCAAAATGTCTCTTAAGCTGTGCCCTTGGGCACAGCTTTCCAATCTCGTTAAAACACAGCTCAGATCTGGGTGGCCTGTGCCCACCCTCTCCTGTTGCCACTGTGGGCTGGGATGGCTCTTACTCAGACAGGCCAGGGCTGGGAACTGGGCTTGAGGAGTGCACACTGTTGGGAAAGTTGCTGAGGGCCGCAGGAGCCTGAATCACAGCTCTGCTCCCTGCTGACCCATGTTCTTCCTGGCCCCAGCGCCCACCCCATGGCTTCCTGGTCAACATGAGGCTGGAGGCAGTGGACAGGAGGACCCCTTCCTTCATCCGAGTGGCCAGTGTGGAGGACGTGGAAGATCACAGGATAAAGGTGGGTGCTGGAGTCTCGGTGCTGTGCTGGCTTGCTTCTGCCCTTCCCAACTCACTGCCAGCTGCAGTGGCAAAGTGTGTGGAGGTCTGTGGAAGCACATCATGCAGAGGATGGCAGGTCCCAGTGCCTGGCTCCAGGAGTGGACAAGACCCTTGTGCTGCAGTTTGGCCCTACCTTGCTGCATGCTGTCAGCTTGGAGGGCTCCAGAGCTCCTCAGGGAGGTGCCCTGAGGTCTGAAGGCTGACCTCTCTGCTTGTCTCCCCAGATCCATTTTGATGGCTGGAGCCATGTCTATGACTTCTGGATTGATGCAGATCATCCGGACATCCACCCCATAGGCTGGTGCTCAAAAACTGGACATCCACTGCAGCCTCCTCTCAGTAAGTCCTGTGCCCAGGTCAGTCCCTCATACCAGGGCGCCAGATTCCCACTGTCCCCAACACCTGCCCGTGCACAGAAATGGGAGGGCAGGTGCTGGCCTAGGATAGGCAGGGAGAAAGGGCTTTTCTGTGGAGTTGTCAGTTGGAAAAATCCTCCTTGTTTGGTGCAGACATGGAGTCCAGAGCTCTGCTTGGGGCTGCAGCACTGACAGTCTCTCTCCTGTTTCTTCTCCTGGTCTAGGGCCAAAGGAACCAGCCTCCTCTGCCCATGGGGGCTGCCCAACCCTGGGCTGCAAGACGACCATCCCTCACACCAAGAGCTCCAAGTACAGCTTTCACCACAGGTGAGCTCCCCAGTGCAGCTCAGAGGGGCACAGCTTCCCTGACGGCCCTTCCTCTGCTCCTCTGCACCTGCCAACCCCACCAGCAGCCAGCCCTTCCCTGCACCCACCCCACACCTGTCTCTGCCCCCTGCTTAGGGGCAGCCCTTGCTCTCCCTGGGCCCCAAGGCATCCCTAAGCCCGCAGCTGGTGTAATGTCTGTGGGCTCCTGCTCTGCCACTGTTCCCTGGCACCAGGAGCACCTGAGGGTGCCTGATGTGCCCATCTACCTGTGAGGACGTGTGGGTTATGCCAGGGACAGTGCCTCTAAGAGCCTGTTCACTGCTACCAGCTTTGAGGATGACATTCCTCCCACCCCCCATGGATGCCTTTTACTGTGAGGTTGTGAGCTGGGAAGCCCAGAGAAGGAACAGTGCATCTCCCCCAGCTCAGTCACTTGCTTTCATTGGACCTTTTCCAGGGGGAACCAGGCACAGTGCAGTACCAACACCAGCACAGCTGGCTGGCATCACGAGGAGCACATAGGTGGAGCAGCCTTGAGGATGGGGAAGGCAGATCTGGCTCCCAAGGGTTTCTCTACTGGCCACACTCATGACACTTGCTTCCTCCTCACCCTGAGGCTAGTCTGGATGCCTGTGGGGACAAAGAAGGGAAGATGGAGACTCTGAGAGCCCCAGTGGCCTCCTTGATCAGCACTGTGGTGACTTACACAGGGTGACTGCAGTGGCAGTGGAGAAGATGGAATGGGTGCTTGTACCTGGGGGGACAGGGATTCTGTTCAGCACATCCTTACTCTGCTTTCTGTGGCCAGGGCTATGGCGTCCCATGCTCAGGGGCGGAGGGGTGGCCCTGCTGGCTTGCCCCCTGATGCTGCCTGCTCCAACACTTGCCTCCCCTGTGTCCTCTAGGAAGTGCCCCACGCCGGGTTGCGACGGGTCAGGACACGTGACTGGGAGATTCACGGCGCATTACTGCCTCTCAGGGTGCCCACTGGCAGAGAAGAACCAGGGCAGGCTTAAGGCGGACTTGTCTGACACCGAGGCCTCAACTCGCAAAAGGAACCTTATTGGCTTCCCTCAGCGAAAGAAATCTCGTCACCATGGGAGGTAGGGACAAGCCTGGTGAGCCCTGTGCAGCGGTGCAGGACCCCTGTGCCATGACTGCCATCCCTGGGAGGGATGGCCAAGCCGGAAGGGCTCTTTGACTGCAGGGGAGCATGCTTGTTGGCAGCTGGTGTTTGTCCTTTCAGCTTTGTTTGGCACTTCTCCTGGTTTTTATTCCCACGTTTTGTGTCTTTAGCTGTCAACCTTTTGGGTCAGGGTCTGAGAGGTAATCCTTGCTCCCACTGCCAAGGCATTGCTCTGTGCAGTGTGGAGGGGGACCCTCGGGCCAGTCCCGACCCAGTTGGAAATCAGTATTCCTGTCTCTTTAGAGGGCGACCTCCAAAGTACCGGAAGATCCAGCAGGAAGACTTCCAGAGTAAGTACTATCCTCTGCCATGCTGTCATCACAGGGGCAAGGCTCGAGGAGCTGGGGTGGTGGCTGTTGGAAGTCGATCTCCCTTGGCTTACTCAGTCAGACCTCACGTGGGTCAGCACCTGTGAGGAGCTTGTGGTTGACTGCCAAAGTTGACCATTTGACAAGGAGCATCCCTGCCTCTTACCAGAGCTCTGCTAGGTCCCACGTTGAGTCTCTTGGTTTATGTCTGTGAATCTTTGAGTGCTTTAGCGCAGGGAATTAGGATCCGTTCTCTATGGCAGTGCATGTTCCCCAGCATTTTGCCCTCTCCAGGCAGGGATGCCGTGCTTTCGTTCTGTGGCTGCCATACCCCAGGACATCAGTGTGGTTGTGAAGTGCCAAATTATTGCTGCAGAAACTGATCCTGAACAGTTTACTTGGCATTTAGTTCTGATGACTGATATAAGACAGTGACTGACATTTATTCCAGCCAGTACCTGTTTTAACATGGGCTGTCCTGCTGCCTACCCCAAAGCTGGGTGTGAATGAAGAGAATCTCTTCTTGGGAGCCATCCTTGAGTCCTTGGAGCAGAGAGCAATGGAAAAGCTTTGATAAAACATGAAATTAACTGAATGATACAGGATGGCTTTCTGTATGAATGGTTGATGAAGGAAGATGAATGGTTGAAGGTGGTGAGAACAAGACAAAGCCAACCTTGCCTAAACTTCTTCCCACACTATCCCTAATCCCACGAAGCTGAACACCTGGATGCACTGATACCCTATTAATTCAAGAGTCAACCACTAGCTCTTGATACCTGGACCTATGAAACTATCTGGCCCTCCCCTGAATGGCACCCTCCCCAAGGCTTGTAGGATAGGATGGGATGTTCTCATCCTTCTGCCTTAGATCACGTCTTGCATTTTTATTGCCAGCTATTGCTTCAGACAATATGCATCAGTCGCTCTTTATGTCTGCCCTGTCTGCCCACCCCGACCGCTCCCTGTCGCTCTGCTGGGAGCAGCACTGCAAACTCCTGCCGGGGGTGGCTGGCATCACAGCAACTACAGTGGCCAAGTGGACCATTGATGAGGTACGTCGGTTTGGAAGATTGCGTGCTTGCACCTAATCCACTGGCGTGGCTGGGAGCGTTCTGCCTGACTGTGCAGCACCGTGGTACGTGCACCAGGCACAGAGGTGCTTCAGCGGCCACTTCCCTGGGCTGGTGAGAAGGCAGTACGCTGGGCATGCTGGTGGGGTACTGTGTGTACAGCTGCCAGACATGAGCCCTGATGGCACCTTCTGGGAAGCACATGCAAAAATACCAGGTTCTTGCTTGGCATGAATGTGACACTAGCCCAGGACAGGCATGTGAAGGCAAGCAGCAATCTCTTCATTTAGCATGCTACAGTTTTCCAAAGAAACCAGTTTCATATTTGCCAAGTTAAAAAATTAAACTATAGACTCTGCAGATAATAAGTTACTTCCCTGTTTCTCTGAAAAAGGAATCTTTACCTCAGACTCTTCGTTGTCACCTTCATTCAGTTTCTTGGGCATCTGCAATGGCCTCTCTTAAGGCCTGGGTAGCTGGAACTCTGGCACTAGTCCCAGCAGCCAGCCCGGCCTGATCTTCCCCATTATGCTCCTGTGTGCCCCTCTCCCGTCCCTGCCCCTCAGTGGGAATTGTCTTGCTGTGCTGGAGATGGTTGGTTGGAGATGAAGCTGCTGTAGCATTCGCTGCTGTGAGGCTGGAGGAGGCCAGCATCTGTGCCTGGGTCCAAAGGCGATCTCTAGAGATGGGAGGGTGCTGTAACTGCAGCCTTTGTCCTAACAGCCACGTTACCTTACAGGGCACAAACCGCCTCTGTGGCGGTGAGGATGTGGGTTCATGGGAGGTCTCCAGCCAGAAACATTGCTTCTGTCGTGACATTTTTCTGTATTCATTCCAAGGTCTTTAGCTTTGTTCAGACACTGACGGGTTGTGAGGACCAAGCCAAGCTCTTCAAGGATGAGGTAAGAAGGGCTGGAGGATGGGTGCAGGTGGCCAAGGACAGCTGTTTGCCAACAGGGCAGGGAGCGGATTGCTGCTGAAGGCTGGAAGTGCTCCCGTGCTTGGCAGTGATCCCACTCTGCAGCCCTGGGGACAGCAGCCCCGCTGCATTTGAGTGCGCAGCTGTCTGCCTGTGGCAGGAGGGGAAATACTGACCCTCAAGTTGCTGTGCTGCCCTGTTCTCCCAGCATGGGTGAAGGAGGGGCCCCTCTGAGGAGTGTAGGGTGGTGGAGCTGGAGGAGGATGGTGCTGCTGCCTCGATAGCACCATCACCTCCTGAGGAAAGTTGCTTACACCTCGCCCATTCATCCTTATCTATCCAGGCACAGAAGCCTGGGCTGGCTGCAGTGTGAGCCCCTGGGCCAGCCCCTGGAAGGGCCTTTCCTTCTCTGTGTCCTGTTCTGGGGTGTGTGAGTTCCTGGCTCTGGCTTGTTTGGGGCAGCATGGGAGTGCTGTGGGTGGCCCCTGCCCTACTCCCTGGGATCATCTGTGGCACCTGGCTGAGGGTGAATGTGACTGCACATCCCCTGGTTGTGCCCATGCTGGCTGTAACTCGGAAGTCACAGCCTGGGTTTTCGGTGAGTGCCTTTGTCCCTGCTCTCCTCTCTAGATGATCGATGGTGAGGCGTTCCTCTTGCTGACACAGGCTGACATCGTCAAGATTATGAGTGTCAAGCTGGGCCCGGCACTCAAGATCTACAATGCCATCCTCATGTTCAAGAATGCTGACGACACCTTAAAGTGACTTTCTTGGCCCAACTGGGACCCTCCCTCAGCACCGGTGCTGCCAAACTGCCTGGTCAGGACAGAGATTCCCCCAACCAACCGCAGCTTGTCATGTCCTGCTCATGTCCTCATGGATGCCGCATCTCTGCTCTCCCACCAGACCATCTCCCATCCTTTCCACTCCACACTGCCCTTCTCCTCCAGCTCTGGGTACAGGCTGACTTCAAGCCTTTGGGGTGGCTGCAGGGACAGAGGGTGGATGTGGGATTAGCCTGTCCTACTGTGACAGCTGTCCCCCCTGTCCTACTGTGAGTGCATGGATTCGGGGGGAGGGGGGAGTGTGTGTTGAGGGATGGGGGAGCGGTGTGGAGGGTGTAGCAGCTTGGGCTTGACACCACTACTCAAGTCACCCAGAGAAGGGAAGGGACCCCCTGCCCACATAGGTGCTTGCACCTGTTTAAGGGCTGGTCTTGGCTCTGCTGAGCAGCTGAGGGAGGTATTTACCCCCCCACCCCCCCGCCTCAGTGTGTTCCTCTGGGAGGGCCTGTGCTAACATTGTTTCCAAGGGACACTCAAGGAGCTTCTGCTCACTTTGCCTTTTTCACTGAATTCTTTTGACTTTCCCTTGTAAGGCCAGATGATGACTCTGCTTCGCGCCTCCGCTGCACTAGGAACCGGTGGCCCACCTCTTGCCCCTTCCAAGGGATCAGTGTGTGCTGGCTGCTGCTCTGCCCATGACCAGCATCTGAGCTTTATTTTTCTTTACTGTAATGCAGCAGCCCCAGGGCCCCATGGGGCTAGGGCTAGGTCTAGGGGTGCAGAACAAGCTCCATTTCCTCTTGCGCTTCAGGCTGTCTTGGCCAGCACATCTCTGGGAGAAGGGATGCTTGCTCCCCTTGCAGCAATTAAAAAATCCTCTCTAAAGGAGAGTCAGGCCCTTTTCAGTCCTTTTATTAGGAGCAAGGCATAGACAGCTGCCAAGGACAAGAAGCCTTCGTTCCTCCAGATGCAGATCCATGGCTCACTTCCAAAGGTGTTCCTGAGTTGGCTGACTCGATCCTGCCAAACTGCCTTGTCCCCCTTTGTTGCCCTCACGAGGCCCACAGGTTTTGCTGTTTGAAGTACAGGAGCTTCTGCTGTTCCTGGATTCGTTATCTGCAGAGCTAAAAAATTCAGCAGGTTTTTTTTCTGTTCTTTCAGTAACATAGCACCTTTTCAGCAAGGGCACAGGCACTTTGGGAATGCCCATGTAACACTGTCCCTTGTAATGGAGAAGAGGCTGAGTAGGCTAGGACTCCAGAGCCAGGAAAGCCAACATGCCTGAGGGTCCTGGCAGAGCCCCAGGCAGCTTCTGATAATCCCTGTGTCTGTCGGCAGCACCCGCACTGCTCTTGGCGTGGTCTGTCATCCTGCTCACACCTGCGATGGGTGGTGTGGGAGCAGTGGTGTGGCAAGTGCGGTGCTGGAGGGCAACCGTCTGCCCCAGGGGCTTTCCATAGTCTGCAGTGATGTGATGTGATCCTAGTCCCAATCCCAAGAATGATATATCAGCAGCAAAACAATTTTTCCCCCTTTCCCAGTACCCAAAGACAGGGATGAAAGGATCTTGACAAGTGCACCAGCGATGTGTCTTGGAGCAGTGCTGCCTTGGGAGCCGCTGTCACACCTGGGTCAATCTGTTCTAGGCTTCCCATGGAAATGTAGCATTTTGACGCTGCTAGTGAAAATTTCGGGTCACATTTGACCTGCTCTTGCAACATTTGCAGCTTGCTCTTCAAGTTGGACTTGCAGCTAGTCCATGTATGTTTTGTCAATGCTTGGGTTTGATTTAGGCAGCTCTCCTGTCCTTTTCTAATCTTCTTTCATCTCTTCAAGCACTACAATGTGGCCAGCTGTGGAAAGAGGGGGAATGGGAAGGAGCAGCCATGTCCCTGGGTCCCACAGTCACTCCCCAAGTCACCCTGGATCCACAGTAAATGGCCCTGAAGTTGGTCTCTTCAGGTGATGGGGGGTCTCTGGGGCCACTGTGTGCTGGGGGAGAAGAGAAAGAGCCCTGGGACCTTCAGCTATGAGGCTGTGTGAACGGTGCTGAGACCTCTCCAGGTGTGATCTGGAACAGAACAACTCCCTTGCACAGGACTTGGTTATTGAGTTTGTAAGGAAGCATCTTTTGAAAGCATCCTATTCTCACCTGCTCCATTCCCTCATGTGAAGTCATTCCCCGTGTTGGGGAAGGGACTAAGCACTGTCCCTGAGTGCCGGGAGAGGAGTTGCTACCCAGGTGTCAGATGTGAAACTAGTGTGAAGGTCTTGTGCAGGGCTGCACTGAAGAGCAGAGGTGGTGGTGAGCTCAGAAGATCCCTGCTGAAGGGGAAGAGGAGCCATGAGCCAGGCCATGGCTGGCCCACAAGACTGGGTGCAACCAACACAATCACCTCTTGCTCTGCTCTTGGGTGCAATGAAGCCGTGCTCTGCCTGAGCACCAGCATACTCCAGCCAGGGGCAT